AGTTAGACGATTAGTTCTTAAAAAAACTCTTGAAAAAGGCCTAACAAGCCGAAACATATATGTAGAGTTAAAGTTACTCTTATTAAAAGTTTTTTGAAACATCTAAAAGCGTGCTTTATTAAAATACTAACATACAAATTCACAACAACAGAATAGAATTAGTCCACAAATATGTATACTTGGGCCATGAGATCAAAATAAGCACAGATAACCAAACCTGTGAACTGGCTAGACGAATTACCTTGGGATGGGCGGCTTACGGAAAAATGAGGGACATCTTTAGAGCAAATATCCCAATACACCTGAAAAGAAAGGCATTTAACCAATGTATCCTCCCGGTTTTGACCTATGGCGCAGAGACACTCACTCTAACAAAAGCAACCGCAGAAAAATTGAGAGTGACACAGAGGCGGATGGAGAGATCTATGATTGGCCTGACTTTGAGAGATCGAGTAAGAAATGAAGATATACGCCGACGTACGGGAGTGGATGACATTATCCAGCGAATCACAAAGCAAAAGTGGAGATGGGCTGGACACATTTCTAGAATGGCAGACGGGAGATGGACCAAAAGACTTATAGAGTGGAGATCAAGAGCCGACAAGCGTAGCCAAGGCAGACCTCCCACCCGATGGACCGACGACCTGAAACGAATAACAACTAACTGGATTGCAACAGCTAAAAACCGCGAGAACTGGAGACGTTTGGAGGAGGCTTATATTCAACTATGGACGTGAAAGGGGGCTGCGTGATGATGATGATGATGATGATGATGATGACGACTTAATTCTTCTGTTGATTTCTGGTAGCAGAGATTCCGAGCTGTGTATAAGTTGTCCCAAATATATATTTTCTTCTACTATTTTCAGTGTTGTGTTATTTATTAGAATGTCTTTTCTTTCCACTAGTTCGTTGTACATTACTTTAGTTTTTGCTAAATCCATTTTGAGATCTACAATATTGCTGGCTGTATCAGTTCATTAATTTGTGCTTGTAGTTCTTCAGGACTATTTCCAATTAGGACTATGTCATCAGCGAATCTTAGATGGTTAAGATATGTTAAATCTATTTTTAACCCTTTGTTGGTCCAGTCCAGTTGACGGAACTTTATTTTAATCTTCCTGTAAACAGCTTTGGAGATATCGTGTCTTCCTATCGTACTCCTTTGCCAGTTGGAAACTCTGATTCAAATAACATGAAATAATAATTATTTCTGTTTTGACACAATATTTGTTTGCCAGAAAATCTTAATAATACATAATTTGACTAGAATGAAGTGTTACTAAAACACATTTTATCATTAGCATTAATGAAACACCGAAACGCGGTCCTCTCTACTCGTTTGGCAGTTCAGACAAAGTTTAATCGGTGATTTTCTCGCGCTGGGCAAACACAAGATGGACGTCGCCGACGGCTAAATTGCCGCTCGCCAGTCCGAAATAATCAGGTAATTTGTTTAGCGGATTAATTTCATTACGCGAAGAGCATCTGGCTGCGAATTAGCCCGGTCCTGACCTGCTCGCTCTGAGTTGGCTACGCTGCAGGACACAGTGAGCGCCGTCGGTTGCGGATGAGTTGCATTGTTTGCGTTTCCAGTTGCTCTCTAATTGGAGGAGAGATCGTGGACGGTGTAACGGACGGTCATTAAATAACTGTGTAATTGAATGGTTATTTAGGAAGAAAGTTACCGTGAGAATTACACTAGACTCACCAGAAAATCTGGAGTGTGTATTGCTAAATGTAAGGACATCCGACATCGAGTTGGCGAGTCATCAACTCTAGAGAAGAAGGCTATGGTTTGGTAATCTTCACAATAAGAATTCGCCTCAAATCCAAGTTTTTCACATTTGTCTTTCACACTTTTAATAATTAACGCCTTCTATTGAAAGAGCAAACGTCAAATCCTGGCTTATATTTTCAAAAAAACACAATTTTCTCATTAAATATAGATTTTAGTAAAACTAAAATATTAAACAAAACGTCATTCGATTATGATAATATACAGGGTGATCCATGTGAAACAGTGAGTATTTTATTTGGAGTATAAATGTGACTTCGCCTGTAACGTTAGAGTCTCTAAAGCTCCTCCGTTAAATATCATTTTTTACTCATAATAAAACGATATGCGAGGTTAAATTTAGAAAACTTATAAAGTTAATATAATCAAAAAATGCAAGAGCTCGAAAAAACTCAGAAAAAATTTAACCTTTTCCCGTATTACTAGCGATAAACTAAAATTTCTTGCATAATTGCGCGTAGTTTTTGCCAGAAATTCACTGGCGCGTTCTATGAATCAAAGTCACTTGTTAATAAAAGCGGAGTGGCCAGAGATAAATCTTCGCAGTTCGTAGCTCGTTATATCCAGGGTAATTTAGTGCCCGGCCGCGAAAAACGTGACCTGCCCATCTAATGCCCCCCTGGCCCAATTAAAACTACAAATAAATGCGGCGCTAGGCGTTTATTTCACGCCGAACGTAGAAAGAAATAAGTGGAAATGGCCATTCGAGGCGTCTCAAATTTATTTGCTTTGATTGAGACCGTGAAATTGGTTTCGGGAACGGAATACTCGCCTCAGGTTGACACGTAAAAGCATCGGCAGGTTTAAAAATACATTTTTAATGGTTTTTTGATGTATTAAATGCGCTAGTTCTTGGAAAGAAACAAGCCAAATACAAATTATATACAGGGTAGCCCATCGAAAACGTTCCGCAAGGCATAGCGGCTAGGGTATTCTTTTTTTCAAAAAATCCAAAAACACGTCAATTTTGTTTGTGAGGGGGACAACTTTTGCTTCAAAAATGATTGCAAAATCTTCAACCCTCTAAGCGGGGGTGTCATCCCCCAACTTTTTTCAAATAGGAAGGGGGGTCAAGTGGCGCCGCAATGAAAAGAGCTTTCTATTCTCTATATTTCCCCGCCTCGTTTTTGATAATCGGTCGAGTCATTGAGAAAATATGAAGGATTAAAATTTGAAAAATTTATTTAAACATTTTTCAAAGTAAATGATAAAGATAAATTCCTTCGGCCAATTTGAGGTTTTTTTATTATTTCTAGATGTTTACACATTTTTTCACTTGTCACAAGGTTGAACGATCAGGTGCGGTAGATGCTAGATAGCTGTTCTGTGACTTGTGTATTGAAGTTCTCAATATCGTTAAACTGGCCTACAATAGAATTTCCAAAAATACCAGCCCACACGTCCAATTTCTGAGGGTTTTGTGTATGCACCTCGTGAAAAACTCTGGGGTTGTCCTCAGCCCAGTACCGACAGTTGTGCCGATTAATTACACTGTTCAAAAAGAAAGTAGTTTACACACTTATCCGAAAAACACACAATAGGAAATTATTATCATTCGCCACTCGTTCACTCATAGTTTCACAAAATTGCAAGCGACGATCAAAATTGTCTTCGTTGAGTTCTTGTACCAACTGAATTTTGTACGGCTGGAACTTGTGTTTTTTTAATATCCTTTGGACACTTGTACGATTCACGCCGGTCTCATTGGCTAAGTTTCTTGTACTCTATCGCTCTATATTCTTGTAGCGTACTATCCATGGCAACTTGGCCCAATACAAATACCTCCATAGCTTTATTTACTACAGGATTTTCCGGTAAGAATCGGTAATAACAGGAAAACGTCACATCCAAAATTTGTAAATTAAAATAAACAAAAATTGTAAATATGAATTTTTCAAATGAAGAAAAGCGTATAGATGCTTGCGCATCAATAAAGTGGTTTCAACATGACTTTCATTATGACACACCACCCCCCACCCCCCATAATGAAAGAAATGTTAAAAATCATAATTATACAAACGCAGGGATATGAAGAAGTAGACTAATTGCGTGGGCCTCCCCGATCATCTGACCTATCCATTTTAGAATTTTTTATGCGGTATAGTTAACAATAAGGTTTACAAAAGAACTTATGAATTAAGAGAGGCACTCGAAGTGGCGGTACAAGAAAAGTTTAATAAAGTCGACCGGTCCTTCTGTGAGAATAGGTAGTAATTCAGTTTTAAAAAGATGCAACTCAATACAATGGCGGATTTTTTGAACATTTTCTACAGTAACTTAGTGTATGTAGTGATATTATTTTTTAAGTATTAGTTTGTCTAATGTAAATTGTAAATAACCGTTTAGTAATATATTCTGACATTTTATAAGTTATAAATCATAACAGAATAAGAATACCATGCAATCTAAGTGAAATTAGTCAAGAAAGATAAAAATTGGCTATAACTAAATTTAACTTTTCTAACATGTCTTAAAAACCGTTTTCTAAAAAACGTAACAATCACCGGTCAACGTATTCTCGAAAATGTATGGTCAAGAAAAGTTGAACCAATAATCCTACACGCTTTTCTTCATTTGAAAAATTCATATTTACAATTTTTGTTTATTTTAATTTACAAAGTTTGGATGTGACAGCTTCACATTTATGAGAGCAAAGATGATTAAACTTGTTTCCATGGCTAACTAAGTGAAATTGTTTAAAAATGATAAGAATTGGTTATAACTCAGTCATTTTTCGAAGAAAGCATATTATATCTTATATCGCTGAAAACCTTAAAAAATGGCGCTTTTTATGAAGTCATGGCCAACTGTGGTTCCCGTTTAAAAAAAACCTATGTTTGTGTCATATGTCAAAAATGACAGGCTTTAGAAAAAAACGGAGGACACAGTCTCATTAAGGATGCGATTATCTACAACTTTTATCTGAAAACATTTTGTCTAAAATAGCTTATAATGAAATTGGGGACAATTTTTAAAATAGCCGAAATTTGTTTTTTTCGAAATATCTAGTAAGCCATGAACTTTTTCAAAAATCTGAAAGGCGCATATTTATGACCCCACAAAACTGCAATTCTTTCCCCATTTAACCGACTCTCTATCTCCAGTAGTTTCCGAGATACCCATAGAGAACATCGTAGGAAACTCACCCTGTATAATATATATTTACTGAATTGTTATATTTTACTCTCATTTTATTTTTCAGGTTATGGAAATATTTGGCCCCACACACCTCAAGGAAAGATCGCCAGTATTGTCTACGCAATAATCGGCATGCCCTTGTTCCTGCTTTACCTGTCAAACATTGGTGACGTGATGGCAAAATCATTCAAATGGATTTATGCCAATTTTTGTTTATGTCGATGGTGTCCAGGGGTAAGAGCTTAGTTAACTAGAAAAAGCCAAACTATATATAGTTACTCCTATATGATATGTATTATTGATAGGTAGCGAAAAGGAGAGCTGAACGTAGAATTCAAAGGGATCAACAAATGATAGAAGATGGCAGTTCTGATAGTCAGAGTAGGAAAAGTAATTCCTCTAGTGGTTCGCCCGATGTAAGTTATTTTTTAGATATTATATATTCCACAAAGAGGGGCACGTTAAAATATACAGTACACATAATATTTTGATGCAAACATTTAAACAATATACTTTACACTATTACCTTAAAAATACAGCTTAAATAAAACTACGTATATTGAAAAAACTTTTTATTACATAAGCTATACAGGGTGAGTAAAAAAAAAGTCAAAGTGCAAATATTTTTAGGGGTGGTATATTTTGACTTCAGAAATACGTCTATGAGGGATTTTTTCGTGAAAAGGAAATTTGAAAGTTTTATATTTCTTGAAAATTTTTAAACATACATATATATTTTTTTTGAGTAGATTAAATTTAGAGGAAAAAAAAACAAAAAATAGGGCATTCAAAATTTAACCTAATATTTTTTTTTAATGTTTAAACGAAGTAAAATCTCTTAGATTACAGATAGAGGTTGGAACCTTTGTAGAAAATGTTTATACCACTGTGGCGGATTCAACTCTTAAAAAAAATTCCAATGGGTATTTCGCCACTTGTACTGTAAGAAAAACTACAAAATAAAATAGTTATTTCTGTAAACACTGCTGCATTAATACGTACATAAATACCAACTACAACGGACACCAATTTGTCAGCAATGGTTTACTAATAAACAGATTTGCCTAATGGATAAAACAATGTTGAACGTTTCGGGAAGTTTATCTCTCATCGTCGCCGGAAGCACAGAAACACAAATAACAGAGAAAAAAAAATATTTAAAATATCTAAATACGACCATTCAAGAGCATTACACATTATACAGGGTGTTTCAGAAACAAGTGCCATCTCTCGTAATTTTATTATCATTAACTTGCGAAAGTTTTCAATAAGTACTCATTGATTTTTCATAAAAAAATATGAAAAATTCCTATAAATATGGGTATGGAAATGCATAGTTTTATAGTTACAGGATGTTAAAACTTTTTAAAATTAGGTTTTTTCTTATTATCTTAAATACCATTATGTTTTTATTTGAAATTGCTGTAGATTAGACTAATAGTAATAATAATTAATATTAATAATATTTAATAATAAATTAGGAAAATATATACTTAATTTATTAACTTTATTTTTATTTTTATTTTACTAATTATGATTAATAAAATTGCTTTTATCTCATCAAAAAGGCCGAATTCGACAAAATATCAAGAGATAACATTTAATTAGCATTAAACGGCCTATACAAATTTGATATAAAAAAAGTCAGTCGTGTTTTATTTTTTTTTTTTTGAAAAATATTTCAGTGTACTGTACATAACCTAACCAATATGCACGTCCATGATTACTTTATCGACACTTTTTTAGTATTAAAATCTATAGCACTTAGTAACTTTCACCCTCAAAATTTCATTCGAATCACTAAAACTACTTAGAAGAAAATTATAATAAACCGAAATATTATTAAGATTTCAATACCCTGTAGCTACGAAACAACACTATGTTGATATGAAAAATAAATCTTATTTTTACGTGAGGAATTTCCCCACGAGAGATGGCACGTGTTTTTTGAAACACCCTGTATTCTTTAATTGGAACATTTAAAGGTCTAGATGTTTCACCAATATAAAATTTATCACATTCACATGGTATTTTGTATATTTTTTTGTTTGTGTTCATTGGTATAATAATATAATAAAATACACTTTAGATCTATTTTAACTTACACTAAAAGTTAAAATAGATCTAAAGTGTATTTTGTGTTTTGAAGGATGTCCGTATGTTATATTGTTTTCTTATTTTTCTTATTTTTTCTGAAACGCCTCTTAGGTAGGTATGGAATTGTAAGTTGTATATTATAATGTGAATTGTTATCATTGTGTGTTCTGCCTATGATTTGGAGTTTTTATTTAAGGTCAAGGACTTGAGAGACCTCGCCAGAATTATCATGGGTTGTGTTTTCTCAGCCGTCTTTAACACCGTTTTTTTCGATCGTCTGGTATAAAAAATCTAACGTATTTATTTTTTGTTACTTCTTGTGTAATTTTTATTCAAAAGAAAGTCGAATCAAAGCCACAAAATCGTCCATCACACGTCAACCTATCTTTTCTTGGTGGCCTACTCACACACACCTCCTCCTCCGTCGAACCAACCTCTCGATATTTATCTCTCGACACCATTTATCAACTTATTCTGTTGAAAAATGACGGCCGACCGACGTTTTTTATTCAATAAATATCACTCCGTCGTCGTCCGTAGTGAAAAATGAGATGGCTCGCGCCGCCGACAAGTTTCATCACAATTTTATTGGGGGCTGGTGGGGCGGTCGGTCCTTGTTAGCCCCACGTTCCCCTGTTTGTCGAGAGATGACCGGAATATATTGAGGCGAGTGGCTCTCGAGCGATAGACAAATTGGATGCAAAGTTTGATGTGGGTTGTGCTTGTTTTTTGAACGGTTTTGATAATGCCACGTATTACCGGGTGCGTCTTAAAAGTGGCTCACACCTCTTGTTGTAAAATTACCGGTAATTTAATAATAATAATAATATCTCCTGTATATAGCGTTTGACGCGTTGGGAGTAGCAAGGTACAGCTTGCCATACTAGAGCCGTTCGGTATACAAGGAAGGTAATGTGGTTAGCACTACGCTTCAACCGCCTATTATTAGCTCAGGATTGTGAATCCCAAGTACTCATTTAAGGCTGAGTCGACCTAGGTACCCAAACTATTTTTATTTTAATAAAAATAGTCGGCTGATGAAATGCCGGGTGTGGGATTCGAACCCACTACCTTGAGATTGGTAGACGAGAGCCTGTACCTCTACGCCACCGGGCAATTTAATAATACTAATAATAATATAGCTCCCGTATAATATAACGTTTAACGCCTTGAGAGTATCAAGGTACAGCTTGTCATACTAGAGCCGTTCGGTATACAGGGAAGGTAATGTCTTTGCTAATGTGGCTAGCATTACGCTTCAACCGGTAATTTATAAATCGGTAATAACACCGGTAATATTACGGTAACATTGGTAACTTATTAAAAAGCAGTTTTTTAAATAATATTATTATTTTTATTTCATAACTGTAAAAACACTACAAAGACAAGAAAATTTTTTAAACAAGTCAGGGTTAGACTGGCCTATGTTAGAGTACGTAATAGAGTGGATAATGACAAATCATCTTCAATCTCGTCATTTGGTTCTTTTTCTCTTTCGTTCGAGTCAAGTCTATTACTTTGAAATCGATATCTACTTTTCCTATTTCTCTCTCAATAGCTTGTACCATTCTTAGATGTTCTTCTCTATTTAGTAAATTATAATTTTGGGCAATAATAAGTAAGTTTTCCTGCCCTTTTCACGCTAAGTCTGTTTCTTTTTGGCTGATGAACAAATTCTAAATATCATCAAGTATATAGTAATCATTTGGTGATGATGCTAATATGGTAACGGGTTTTTTTTGGGTTGCGGTTGTTAAGGATGGTACATTTAAAATGTCTACAGCCAACATACTTATTTTAGAACTGGACAAATGAAAAAGCAAAAGCAAAAGCAAAAAGCAAAATTACCGGTAATATTACCGGTTATATTGACGGTAATATTACCCTTTACATCATTACTCGCACCTATAACTTTTTTATTTTATTATTATAGATAAAAAAAAAACGAGATTTGGTATGTTAGTATAGGACATAAATTGGGATTGATTTGCGCATTCAATTGGTTTTGGTCACTTCCTTTTTCATCGAAAATGACTACAACCTTTGATTTTTAAATGGCACCCTCGGTACATTTTTACTTTATTCGATATACTTACATTCGATAATAAATGACACTCTGAATAGAATTATATATCATATGTCAACTTTTTTTTTAATTTTCGCTTAAAAAATCATATTTTAAATTTCAATCTAGAGTACTATGGCTGTGTTAAAACACTAATTTTTAATCAAAAGCCTTTTTTACGATTTTAGATTTGATCGTTTTTTTTTTCGTGTCTTGTTCTGGCGGGTTAAAACACGCTCAAATCGTATGTTTAATCATATATCTCAATTTTTTCAAACGAAATAAGAGTAGTTCGTTAACATATTTGGAAAAAGCATTTTTTTCGAATAATTTAATACCACACACAGTTAGTATTTCTAGTCAAATTGTCGTTATGAACCGTATGTTACAATTTCAAATAAACCATATATGCTAAAATGTCAAATATGTAATAATAAACATAATCAATATATGTCTCCCAAGTATAGTCAATGTCTCTCTTCATCATTCTTTCATTAATTTTAATTAATTTAAAAAATATTGTGTGTTATCTATTCCTCCTCCATCCGCGAGCTCACAGTCTGTCATCGGGGACTTTTGATACATATCAACAAAGTTCTAAAGGATTTTTTCAAGGATTGCCATTTTCAAAACTATGGGAATTTTTTTCAGCGATGAGCTTTTTTTTTATTATTTTATGCTTACTGCAATAGAAGACGTTATCATTTTCTAAAAATGGAAACCTAAAAAATGAATAAATAATTCTAGGTTGTTACACCGAACTATAACTTCCTTTTTTGTCATTATTGGTATGTTTTCATGTACTCAGTGGCTCGATTTAAATAGCAACCAACACAAGCGGCAACGTGTTGCTCTTATGAAATACGAGCGACTATATTAACTTCAAAAACCGCAACACAGTTGTTTGGAGCTTATAAATATCACGAGCAGTTTTAGCTTCCTTTACCGAGCGCCCATATATCGCTTAAAAAGTCAGACTTCCTCTTCCATAGAACGAAACGCGACAACGTTTTCTTCGTAAATTTAAATTGGAATTTATTGGTTAACCCAAATATATTATAGGACTATATTGCTAGTACTGCATTTATAATACAATAAGTGGAAAAGTGAAGCCAAAGAAAAGAAATAAGAATATCAATCTTGCATAAGTCTATCCTTTTGGTTCAACAGGATTTTCGTCCACACGCGCCAAATAAAACGATCTGATTCGTCTATTTTATCGCTGAAAGCTGTCACCTGCCTGCGCACTATTTT